GGGGGGGCGGCAGGGGGCCCTGGGCCGCCGCGCCAACGGGCTGAGCCCTCGGGTGCTCCCGGGGTCCCGCAGCCGCCCGCGGCCCCGCAGCCCGCCTGCCTGGAATAACGAGAGCTGGGTGGCCGCTCCTTGCTTAACGGTCGGGTTTGCCTTTTTAATTCTGTGAGAAGAATGGCCTAGAATGGAGCAGACAACCTGAAAGACCTAAAGGTGCTTCCTTGCACTCCAGCGCGGGCAAAACGTTGGCTTTGGGCGTCAGGTGCGTGCGGCAGCGGGCTGGGAGGAACCGGTGGCCCGGGCGGAGGTGAGCGGTTTGTAACCCAGGTCCGCTCCGGCTCTCGCAGCCCTCTGCCGAGGTGGTTGCTTGGTTCTGGGAACGGGGCAATGGAGTCACAGGGGACGGGGCCACTGACTTCGGGCATTTCCCTTTGTTGTTGTCCGGCTCCACATCTGCCGGTCGCGAGTTTCAGACCATCCAGACTTCCCCAGGCTGACGTGAGTTACAGATACTGAGAGACTGAGTATCTCTGTAGACCTCCATCTCCATGACAGAATTGAAGACACCCTGTTTTAGTGGGCGATGCTCTGAGTAAAGAAATAATGATATAACTTGCTCATGGCCATACAACAAACCAGTAGCGGAACAGGAGTATTTTGGCTCTCATTTCCATGTCTAGTTGTGTTCAGAATTGGAACCTGTAGCATGATTTGATTATTTTAAAACCTTTGAAAAAGTGTTCTGCATGAAAATCTCTTTTATGAAGAAATATATAGAACTCCAAACAAAATACTTAAAACCTTATTCTTGGAAGATTGTTTCCCTCTAGTTACCACATAAGGCACTTTTGGACTCTGGGTGGCGTTTGTTAATTCAGTTTTTGGGAAATGATTATGCTGTGGCTGATTGCATTCACGTCACAGATATTTCAAGGAATACCTCCAGTCTGCATCTGACACAGAAAACTGTGAAAATTGCAGAGCTGTGACTTACAAAGAGCTTGCTGAAGTGGATGGGGAGAGGCTAACACATGTGGGGTTTGCCTCTGCTCCTCGCCCGTTTCCCTTCTGGAAACTCTCAAACAGAGGTAGCCTAGTACAGCAGCCAAATGAGATGTGGGATCACAATTCACTCTGCAAGAGACTGCGGGAGGTCTCTAGTCCAATCTTCTGCTCATAGGGTCAGCCATGGGGTCAGACCAGGTTACATCATCCAGACAGATCCCGAAAACCTCCAAGGGTGGCAACAGCACACCCCTCCACTTCCTGGCCCTCCTCATGAGGAAAACCGTTTTCATTAGACCTGCCTCCACCCCACTTCTTTCAGCTTGTACCCATTGTCCCTTCTCTGGCTCCGTCTTCTCCACAACCCCCAGGCCCTGGCAGGCTGCTGTGGGACCTCGGAGATGCCCCTCCTGAGGCCGTGCCGGCTCCTTCAGCCTCACCTCGCAGGGCGCGTGCTCCGGCTCCACCATCCCGGCGGCCTCTCCTGAACTTGCTCCAGTGCCTCCATGGCTTCTTTGCTCTGGGGCCCAAAACCGGACACAGCAGTGCACATGGCGTCTAACGGGTGCCGAGGAACGGGGACAATTCCTGCCCTCACTCGCCTGCCTGCGCCCCTCTTAATTCCCCCCGGGATGCTGCTGGCCGTCCTCACTGCCTGCCCGGCTCACGTTCAGCTTGTGCCTCCCAGGAGCAGCCAGTCCTTCCCAGCAGAGCTGCTCCCCAGCCTGGCTGTCTCCAGCCTGTGCTGTCGCATGGGGTTATTCCTTCCCAGGTGCAGGACTTTTCGTCCGTCCTTGTTGAACTTCGTAAGGGTGCTGTACCGTGTTCAGGTGCAGTGTTGGGCGAGCCACTGTCTGCCTTCCAGAGCATCATGGCTACCTTTGGGTATGGGCAGACCAAGCTCATTTCTGTCTCCTTATTAGATCTACGGATGCCTTTGAGTGTGGTGACCATCCCCTGGGGCAAAGTATTCATAAAATAAAGTAATTCTCACTGAGTATCTGGGCAAAGAATCCTCAGTGGTTAGACAGAGAGTAAAGAAAGTAGTATGAAGCTTTTGAAACAAAAACCCAGGTGAACGTGACCTGTGTGTCTGTGGGGCAAGACAACCAGGACTGAAGGGGTCCTGCAGATATTTAAGCAGAGATACAACGTGATTTGGAGAGACCGTGGCTTCTCCCTTCCTTGGTTATCACCTGAGTAAAAGTGTACATGTGCTTAAGGTTTTTGTGGGCTTGGAATAAACCGATTAATTACTGTTAAGACTGCAAAACCTCATCAAAATTTCAAGTCATCTGCTGACTTCAGTGAGCTTTGGTTCGTAGTTGCATTCCAGCATGGTTTCTCACAAGTACAGCAGTGGTAGTTGAAATTAGTAAGTGTAGAAGCCGGAGCTGTTCCTCGAGGTGAAGTCCAGAGGTGGTGCAGCCAAGGGTCGGTCAGTGACCCAGCTGGATGGCAGCAACTTCCCGTGGGAGGAGGAGGAACGTGGTCTAAGGCCCGTAGTCGGAAGGGTCAATTTACACGGGTAACAGCCCTGTCTCCTGACAAAGCAAGAGCCTTCTTTTGTGGAGACTGGGGATTGTTTTCCTGGCTTTTCATCTTCTGAATAGATGGCCCTCTTTCTCAGAGGGAGAGGAACCCAAGCGCAGCATAGTCACTGGCTGTACTCGCTTGGCTTAAGCTTGGAGGCACCAAACAAAATAAGCGTTTATGCTGAAGAGTGTAATAAAGGCAGCAGTTATCTTCTGAATGCCTGTACTGGCGAGTAGATGGCAAAAGTCCATTCTCTGTGATGGAATTGTACCGTCTTTTGATTCCTAAGCCCACATGTGCCTGTTAGGCCATTCCCAGCTAGGATTCACAAAGTCCTTACCTTCAGGGTTTAACGCCAAATTCCAGTTCTGCAGAAAACCACTTTGCCACCATCTGCTTACCTCTCTGGAGACCCTGACAGCGGTTTTATTTGGAAGTGGGGTGTACTTCATGGTGGCTGAAGAGTTTCCTCAGGGAGGGAGTGGCAGACGGGTGCCAGATACCTGGGAAATCTCCCGAGAGTAGTCTTTGCTCCCAGATGGAATGTGCTGGGCAGGTCCCCCTGCCTTGTGGGATGTTGAACTCGCTGTTTGTGGTTGACAGCCTGCGGTTAGATTTGTTCTGTCTGAAAGCTAGACAAGCCTTTCTTGTTTATGTCCCCAGCAGAAACAGTGCAAGATCCAGTAGCTTGTTAGAGTGAGGAATGGTCTCCATCACGGGCAGGACTGTTTGTTTGACTGGAGGAGCAATAAACTTGAGCTGTAACATACAACACTGGGGCTGTAATTCCCTGTCACTCTACCAATCAATAACTAAAGCTTTGATGCTCTCTTAGATTATTTCTTTGGTGAGCAGTCACCGATTTAATTGCACTGTAAATTATTAACTGAAGATTTGCTTTGCAAAACTAATGTAGGATGCCCACTGCGACTTTGTCTTGATATCCTTTCAAATGAGTAAGGGTGGTCTTAAAAATCATTGTGATACACAGCACTGGCTCTGAATATAGCGCATTGTTAGAGGCTGTTTTATTCTGTGAAGCAAACAATGAACCCAAATCTGTGTTGCAGCAGTTCTGTTACTGCATCTCTCTGAATCATCCTCTTGTCTGTTTCACCCTTGTCATTTCTAAGCAGCAGTCTGAATTTTATCTCCAGACATGATTTTGTGAGTCAGCAAAGACTGAAAGGAAAGAGCACTTGAGCTGCCGAATGGGGGGGATCATGTGAAGATGCTGTTGGTGCCCTTTTCCCAACGCTGCACGCGTCTGTGCCGTAGTCATCGGTTGGCGCAAGGGAGCACAGGTCTCATCTGAAGGTTAGGCTTGACAATAAGTTGCATGCTTTTGAGGGAAGGGCGCAGATTCCGTTCCGAGGATAAGGTCTCACCCTGGCTGCCCTCAGACTGGAAAGTACGCCTGCACCCCATCTGCTGGCGCACTGAATGAGTCTGATCCTTTAGTGTCAGTGGGATACTCCAGAGGGATTTGGGCCAAGCCCAAGCATGGTACCAATATGGCCCACTCCCAACTAAACTGGCCTAAAATCTGCTGGTGGAGGGTGAACGGGTCAGCTGAAATAAGCAGGAAAACTGGCAGAAGCTCCAGGTGAGCGTAGGCTTGCAGGGCCAGCCCCCGCTTACTGCACGTAACTTAAATCGGAGTTTGAGTCCATGCCCAGGGTATTCTGTGCGGCTGTCTGTGCTGGTTTTCTTGACAACAGAGGCATTCACCTGGGCAGAGAGCTCAGGCTTCCCTTGGCAGTGTGGCTCTGCCAAAGCCCAGTGGATCCAGCTGCAGTCTTTCCAATGGTTTAATGGGTTTTAGTTCAGGCCCAAAACATTTCCTTATTTCTTCCAATACCCTTTTTAACTTTGAATTTAGTTCCGCGTTTTTGTAGGACAAGCCTTTTCATAATTTAAGTAAGAAAATACGTGTACGGAGACTTCTTTGAAACTGAAGTTGTTGCATCACTGTGCTCAGGTGGGAGTTGCATTTTAACTAGTTATATGGTCCATGAAATATTAGATGGAAGGAAGTAAATGAAAAGGAATTGGACTGAGTTTCTCCTCTGTCTCCGTATGCAATTGCTAGGTGATACCATAAGTCAATACTTAGCACAATTGATGTAATCTGGTGGTTTCAAATGTGAATGCAAACAGTGGATTAAAAAAGTAATGTAGAACAGTTGCTATAGTACCAGTGTTTAATCAACATGCATAACAGGGTAAGCTAAATTGTTTGTTAAAGTTTAATTTATTGTTGGTAGGCTACCTGTGAGATTATTGTGAAACCCCAGATAAAATTGCTGTAAATCCATATCTCTCTGTTTTTTTGGATTTCTTTTTTTTTTTTAATTGTTCTTTATTTCCTTGAGTATACTTTTGTGTGTATTGCTAGTTACCTCAGCAATGGACATTTATCTTAAATTATCCCATTGAAAGACTTGTAGTAGAGGTACAGTGGCATTTAAAGCCAAAGGAAACAAAAGAGATCAATCTCTTGTTGTGTAATTAAAACATATCCTGCCTAGAGAGCCCGAAGGTCGGGCTGAACATATTATGCAACATGTATCTGGAGTGTATAAATTTTACAAATGTGAATGGATTTAGAGTATTAAAAACTTAAGCCTACTGTCACTTACTTAGTTATTTGTCCTGTTTTCCAGAGAGTGAAGTGAGATAAGGTTGTGCTAAGAACTATTTAAAAATATATCTGCTAATTACGGATGCTTCAGTTTTTGTGTTCAACTTTCATATCTTAGGTTCAGTTTTTGGAAACTCTGATCTTTGGTAGCTGTGATGATTTAGCTCTGTTGGCTTTCCAGAGATGGGTGGCATTCCTTGGGTAGAGCAGGGGAGGGCCCTGCTTGGGTGGTCTGCATGGTCTGGTTCTCCATGTTTGCTGGTCTATACAGTTTCTCACCAATAAGTAGAAGAGAGATGCAATTTGTTCACTTTGGGTTGTTCAGTGTATGCATTAAAGAGAATCTTTAGTATATTGACTTGGGAACTGGAAAAGACTTGAGAGGTTCTTGCATTTCGTTTTTATTGCTCTGGATACAGAAGAGGACTTGTGCACCCCTACATCAGGGGTCTTTAAAGAAGATTAGCAGAAAGTAGTCTAGCCCAACCGTTCTGCCGCTGAGGCAGTGTAGTCCCATGAGTCTTTTAGACTGAATGACACTTCGTAGTGCTGTAGAGCTGTCGTAGTACCGGCTGGTTGGTCTCTCACAGTGTGGCAGAAGAGATCCGGGTCTTTAGCTTTGACCTGCGCAGGTCAATAGTGAACCGAGTGATGAGTTGTCCAGGGTCTGTGCTTTCCAGCCCAGGAGGGGCTGGGATCTCGAGAGAGAGGCACTGTCTCTCACCACTCAGCTGTCTTCTGATACCCTGCTTTGGGTGAGGACTTGTTCCTGTGCCTCCAGCACAAAGCATACTCTGCACAGAAAGACCGAGGTGGTGAAGAGGTGGCAGCTTGCCAAGTGCCAGAGGAATAGCGTATCGGGATCCACGCAGACAGACGAGTGTGCTTGCTGGCCTGTCATGCAAACTCTTTGGTTTCCTGTGGAGTACGTTTGGTTTTTGTTTAGCTTGAGTAAATCGGTCACATACAGTAGATCTGATGATTTTTGGTAAAATGTCGTAGCTGTATTTAGAGGGGGAAAAAAAGAAATATTCTCATCAATGTAAGCTGCACTTCAGACAAACTGCTGCCATATGGTGACAGCCAGCAAAAACATACTGCAGTAACATATGCTTTCTAGCCTGTAAATACCACAAAAGTAATAAATCTTGTCCTGTACAAGTTTTGTGCAGTTGAATTTACAAATATGTTTGTGGGACAAGCATTCTTGACTGTTTATTTAAATAAATAGTGTAGAGTCACTGCCGCGTTCAAATAAATGGTCCCTGAAACAGACAGCACAGTTCCTAATCTTGCTGTCATGGATTAGTTTTCCCGAGTGGTTTGTGAGTTCTGTTGGTGTAAAGGCCAAATTGAGAACTGTTTTTTGAAACAGGCTTTTTTGTTCATGAACAAATTAGTGGTTGGCCAGACAACATTTTAACAGACACGTAGCTGAATCCCAATTGAGAAAATGGTTCAAAATAGGAAGGAAGTCTTAAGTGTCTTTTTTGACACCTGAAATGGAAGCCACTTAGTTTTCTGTGTAGGTCTTCCAAGTGATGAATTTGATAGGCAGTCCCTCTGATGGTGGGATCATTAAAGAAGAGGGAAGTCCCATAAAGAAATGGATGGAAATGTGGATATTGAAGGAGGCTTTGGCTGAAAACACAAATCAGTAGTCTTCATCAGGACAAAGATTTGCACCCAAGTTAATAATGTGTATGATAACTCTCAAGCCAGTGAAAATACTGTGGAAAGTGTCCTGTCTTAAAAATATGTTTTGGTGCTAGCAGTTTCTGCTAACATAAGTAGACTGAAGAAGGCAATTTTTTTAATGTTAGATATCAGACAATAATGGCCGAGAGCTGGCAATGAAGACCACAGGAAAATTCCTTCTTGTAGGTGAAGTCTGGTCAGTGATGTGCCTGGAGCTGGAGGTTGGACTAGATGGCCTCTGGAGGTGCCTCCCAACCCAAGTTATTCTTACAGGTCTTTGCAAAAGCTGCCAGAAACTCCATTGCTGCCCTGTCTATCATGAGTTAGGAGGTGGCAGAAGGAACTGACCTGCCGAAGGTCAAAGTTTATTGTCTGAGGAGGCTGTTGCGGGAGCTGGTCTTGGAGGAGACCTTCAGGGCTGGGCTCTGTTGGACCCCGTGCCTCGGTGGTGGTACGCCGTTCAATACTGAGCTGCTGTATCTTACATAGAAGTCACTTGTTTCTGATATGAATCTTCTGGAGGCAGTAAGATGTTGCTTTTACATAATCTAATGGGCATTTATCTGACAAAACACTGGACATGATTCATCAAGACAGCATTTTGTGCAGCAAGCTATTGGGTAGGTCTTTGTAAATGAAGCTGTAATAATTTGCCTGTCAAGGGGATTATATGCATCTGTACTGATTTTTATTTCAGATTTCTTGCAACCTACAATAGCCTTACAGACAAACACCTGGTTGGATATTTCAGCAATACCAGGATAAGACGACATCTTCAGAGATCAGGACTGGTGAGATTGAAAAGTTTCCTTTTCTGAGAAAAAAATAAAAGAATTCTTTGGTTTTTTTAATACTGCACAAGTCTAAACACTAATGGTTCTGTTGTTTATTTGTTAGAAGTATGTGTTGTCATTGGTAAGAATTTGACTGGCTAGCCAAACATGTGAAATTTTATTGTGCCAGATCAAAGCCACATGATCACACTGTGACCGAGGGTGGGTTTGTTTAATCAAAGCATCTCCCACTGCATTATTATCTACCGTTGGTCAGCTAGATATTGCAGGGATGCAGAGCTGTGGTGCTTAAGGCTGTGCTACTGGAGTCAGAATGACAAAAAGACAGGTTAAACTAAGTTTGGAGCTTAGCTCCGTGTGCTGAGTGGTTTTGGATGACACTAGCGACAGCTGAGGACATACTGTAGCTGGCACTGAGCACGTTTCAGGACAGCAGGGTCCAAGGGCCACCTGGGGCTATGAAGATGCTGGCATGTGGGCTGCTGGTGGGTGATGATTGCACACTAGAAGTGATGTGCTAACAGTCAATTTGGAGGCCATACTCCATAGAATATCACGCTTATGCTTCCACTGCACCTTCTGTACTGCAGCAGTCATAATGCTTATCTGCGTGAAACTGGGAACAGTGGCTGACATGGATTCATGGTGTATGTAAATACTGGAGAGCCTCAGCTTAGTCCTGAACTTCTGCTCAGTAATGCAGTTTCAGTAAGTTATTACACATGGCACTGTATTACTGCACAATTACGGTGATGTGAGAACATTTGTCAATCTGTTTGTATTTCACATCCAGGCAGAAGAAGATATTTCATGGAGAGGTTTTGATAAATTTGGAATGTTTTTATGTTTTTGCTCCATATTTCTTTTTGCTCATTGGAGTTTGCCTCTGCAAAATCTTTCAGTTTGGAAACATACAGAATCGTATTGATTCTCCTAGGTTTGTAAAACCGTGAAATCTAAGCATCTTTGGCTCTAAAGGAAAACTGAAGGATTGGTAAAGGTGAATGTGGTGAACATTTTTAAAACTACTTATGCACTCCTAGATGTGACTCTGTTTAGCACAGGAAGGCAAGTATTTAATTTCTCTCCACTGACTTGGGCAGTGGCCCATGAAGAGTAAGGCTGATCCCTCAGCTGTTAGGAAATGTGATTGCTGCTCTGCTGCTCTTTTCATTTGGCTGATGGAGTCCATGGGGTCAAAGAAACTACAATTCTCTGCTGGGATGGTGAGTTCCAGCACAATGGCAGAAGCAGAGGTGGTACCTAACTGGGAAGAGAAAGAAGTCTTTCTGGGAAATTGCACTCTCTTTAAAAACATACTTTATTCTGTCATCTCCTTTTTACTTACATTGTATTTGTTTACGGCAGATCTCAAGGAGTGGAAGAATAATATCTGAGAAAGAATACCGGCTAAATGCTATGAGGAGGGATCACCAGAGATATGTCCAGGAGTGCCTGGCTCATGCCATATTTCATAAGGTCCTTGACATGGAGGTATGTGTTTACTAGTGATGTGTAAGCCTTTTCAGATACTTCCCTACTGATGGCCAGTGGCTGTTAACTCATACTGGACTGTTTTCCATAGCTGTGCCCTCGTGCTCCACTGAAAGGCTCTCTCCAGCTGGGAAAAAGGACAATCTTTGTGCTTGATGTCCCCCATATGAAATCTCCATTGGCCTCTGGTTGTTAAACCATACTGTCATTAAAACATACACTGTCCCGGCTCACGTACTGATCTTTGGCAGTCATCAGATTATGGGATGATATTCATAGGACCAGTTTGCTTAAAAAAAAAATCTAATCAAAACAAAATAGTTTGAACATGGTTATATATCTTATCTGAGTACAAAATTTGGGCACATTCGTGTTACATATCAAGAATGGAGTTGGTCCCTGCAACTTTACAAATGCTCAGTTGTTCCCTTGCCAATGTTAATATACACAGGTGTAATGCAAGTGGATTGAATCAACAGTAGTTTTATGATAGGGCTCAATGAGAGTAATGACCAAGGAGCAGGCAAGTGATAAGCAGAACAGAAGCAAGTGTTCTTACATTCATTGACATCTCATAATGTCCATTAATGAGATTTCTCTTTGTCTTACATTGATAGCGTCATCATCAGCTGGAAATAAAAAGGAAACTTGAAAATTCTGTGAGGAAGGAGAGGGTGCAGAAAATCAAGGTAAGGCTTGAGTGCTACTGAGTACTGATGGGACGTGGCAGTTTTGCCCTGTGTTAAGTAGCAGCCGTGAGTCAGGCCAGAGATTCATTGAGCTAAGTGTTCTGTCTCTGATGTTTATGGAAAAAGTACAAGAAACAGGCAAGTAGAGGATGATCCTGCCCCAGGTTACGTCTCCTTCTTCCTCTATCCAGCAGTTGAGGAACTTCCTTTCATGCACCTAATTCCTTTTGAATCTACTTACTATTTTGGCTCTGCAGTGTTCTTGGTTGTGGAATTTAATTATGAGTTGTATGAAATGGTGCTTCTTGCATTTCTGCACAATAATTAATGTGTCTGCTCTCTGATAATTCTGTTTGATGCTCTGTTGTTCTTGTTTTGAAAAAAGTTAATAATTGTTCTCCTTTTCCAAGGAATTTGTGATTTTATATACCTTTTTCATATTCCTTCTCAGTTTTCCAAGTTGAAGACCCTCTGTCTATTGAATCTTTCATACATGAGCCATTCCAGGCTTCTCATTACTGTTGCCATTTTGTTACCTTTTCTACTTCTACTATTTCTGTTTTGAAATGGGGAACCAGAACAGGATGAATAATTCAAGATATGTGTTGCAGTTCTGCTCCTAGTAATTCTAGACACTATCTGCTTTTGACTGCTGCTGAGCCCTGAGCTCACATTTTCAGTCATTGGCCTCTCCACATGATATTTAGCAGAACCAGCATGTAAGTAATGAAAAGAGGTTTCAGAAATCTTCACTTTGGTGTCATGTAGGTAGAGCTTGATTCTGTAGTTATTGGTCATGGAAATCCCACAGAAGTCAGTGGTTCTTCTCCCCCTGAAGTCACTTGGACTCATATGGGAAAAGTTGTTCTCGTTTTGGCTGAAATATACTCAAATTCTTATTTCTTTATTAGGACCCTGCATACATTGAGAAGAATGCATTGAGAAGCTAACTGCTTCTTTAAGCAGTTGAAAAACAATGTCAAATATTTTTAATTTTAAATAACACATGTATGAGCAATTCATCAGGTAAAGAAAGGAGGAGCTTTTACTGAAAAACACTGATCACTATGGTAATTGCAAAGGCATTGTTTGCTGACTGAGCTCCTGCTGGTAGAAAGTCACCACAGTGGAAGCAGCGATTAAGGCACCCTGTCAAGGGATTCTGGACTTGGATAATTTTGGAACATAAGCCAAAACAGCTTCCTTCAGTGAGAAGCGTAAGGGAGACGCCTGCAGATATGTGATCTGTATCTTTGCTGTGATGCCACACTGGGACACAGGAACCTGGCTGGAATTAGCAGTGTAATTTAATTCTCACCTCAAACATTCAGTGAATTCGGCTGAGTAGCTAATGTAAAAGGAAAGGAGAAAGACAGATGACTGAGCAAGGGAGGGTGAAAGACAGAGCTGTCTATTTCCAGAAGGGTGGTCAGCCCAAAGTGGAGCTTTTGAGAAGAAAAGGTAGGGAGGGGCAGCAGTCAGAGCAAGGAAGTGGCAGATGCACTCAAATTTAAAAAAGGAAGAGACCTTCAACCAAACCAAGAATTGGGAGATGCACAGGAACAGGCAGATGAATTGAATTTGGGGGGATCAGCAGCTGGAGAAGGCTGCAGGGAAATGAATCAGAGGTGGGAATAAGTCTTTTCCCTCATCCCTCGTTCTCTCTGTCATTTCCTTTCCTTTCTTAACCAGGTGTTGCATTGGGTCTAGGCAAGCTGGTCATCATAGCTGTCCAATGAAAGACAGACGGAAGGCAAGCTCAGACATTGCTGTTAGCATATTTAGTACCTCAGAGACGTACATTTCTATTCTTTTAGGTGGAACAATCCAGAAGATCAGTGGAAGGTGCTAGCCCTATGCGCCCCCCCCATCCACCACTTGGTCCAAGAAATCGTTATGGGCTCCATCCTTTAGTGGCTGGGGAACCAGCTAGTCACTCACAACTGGTGAGTTTCGCCACATGCTATAATGGGAGCACATACAGCTGAAAGCGTGCACATGTGTCTATGACATCTGTGCTTAGTCTAGAGTATTGACTGCCCTGATTGTTCCAGATTAGGGCCTCATCCTTCATCACTTGAAGCTGATTTCCCATTTGCAAGATTGTGTGATTGAAGAGGAGTCTTGAGAAGCCAATGTTGCAGGAATGGCACATCAGAACCTAGAAAAAAATAGCTTTGCTTTGTGATAAATCTGCTTTAGTCTTTCCCTTTTACCTGCCTTGTCACCCAAGGTTAGGCTGATATCAGTACATTAAGTATTGTCAGTGAAAACTGTGGCTGTAGGCAAGTTTACACATTGTAAAATCCTGAAAGCAATGGAGGTCTTTTAGAAAAGAGAGTTGAAGGGGTGCAGTAAGACTAAAGCTCATTCCAGAAGGCCGTGCTTTGGAGCTCTGGCTCAGAAGCTTCTTACTCTCTGTTAACAGGCAGAGAAGGAATGTTAATACACTCTTGAAATAGAATGATAACTGAAGTCTACGGTCAAAGGTCAAATATATAGTTCAGGTTTAACTGGTTCTCCATTTCATTAATGATAATTGATGCAGACTGAAGAGAGACTTTCAGTCCTGAATGACCTTTTCCTCTCCATCCCGTACAGAGGGCACCTGGACCTGTAGTCGATTATAGTGGTGGACATCCTTCTCATCAACACCGATCCAAGGAGACTGCCTTTTCTAAGATGGTGAGTTAACTCAGTTAAACAGGTTTTTTAGGTTTTAACATTTTAACTTGGTATTCTGATGGGTATACAAGGGAAAGATGAACTAAGAATGTCAGAAAAATGCTGAGTATTGAACAAAAATAGGCATGCTTTTGTCTTGCATCCTCTCAGTGTCCATGTGCTGAACTCACCAAAACACAACACAATGCTACAGTTCTGTGAGTTCATTATATTTACTTCAAGGCTGCACTGTGAAGAGGCAGTAGCAAAACCTGTATTTATGGCCAAGAGTTATTTTGGATGCTCCAGTTTTTGGATGCTCAATTAGAGATGCCTAAAGGGAGGCAGAGGTACCAGAATCACTCATCAATTCCAAATATCTTGATCAGTGCTATTTTTTGTTGATGCTGCTCTGCACTGGAAACTATACGCTGAGATTTTGTAGCTGTTTTCTTTTTCCTTTTCTAGACTTCCTGGCGACCAAATACAGCTCCAGGAAATATGCAGCACCCACTTCGCCTCCAACCGCTTCGGAGCTGTGCTGCAGTGGGGTCTGTACCAAAGGCTTCCAGCTCTAAACAAAAGTGCCACACACTTGAACATGATCAGCAGTTTGCCAGTGGGGTGAGGCCATAGTTCATTCTGAAAATAATATAATTTTAGGGACAGCTTTATAATACTGCTTTCGTGCAGTAGTTCCCAGAACTGCATACTGCAGGCCACATGCTTTCCAAATTGTCATTAGCTTTTACTTAAACTCTCCTTTTTAACCTCTTCTTAATTTTCAAAACATTGTCTTACTGGTCTAATGCCCGGTTCTTGATCACAGCCAGGAAAAATGTGGTGACTTATCTTTTATAGTATAAAATCTCTCTGCATGCAAAATTTTCTCTCTCTATATAGATTTTCTGTTATGTAGAAAGGGAGGCAGCCACCTGGTTAACACCAATAACTCAGGAATATTTTCACGCAGTCTTACAAGTTTTCATCTTCATCTACAGCTGCAAAGTCATGATCCTTTCTCCAAGAATTTGCTGGCACTATCTATGTCTGCTCAAATTACGGGTGATTTAAATGGTTTCTTTAATGCTCATTACTGACAAAACAGCTAAATCGGTCATAGATGATGAAGACATGATGCAGAGCTCAGATCCAGAGCATGCAACTTTTGCAGCATTTATTCTCTAGAGATGTCTTGCTTTTCAGGGCCCTAGTTCTCCGTTTGCATTTCATCCTGAAGGAGGAGTAAACCTCCACTACAAATGGGAACAAAGCATTTTGAACCACATTTTGTATAACTGATGCCAAATGATGTTACCGTTGGAAGATTCTGGCTGCTTTGGAATTTGCTTGCCAGCTGAGAGAACGCAGCAGTGCTGTGGGGTTGTGCAATATTCTGTCTGCTTGTGATCAGAACCCTGCGTGGTTACAAGTAGTACATGGTTTACAATGTTGTATAATCTATGAGGGTGACATTTCCAAGGAATCTGCCCGTTGCTTTGCAAATTAAAAGAAACGGTTTTAGCACAGAAATGTTTTCATGAACAAAATTGCAAGCACCAAGTTAAGGAATTGTTCTAGAAGTATGTGTGTTGCTAAATGTAAAGAGCAGTGAAACCATGGTTAGTTCAGTATGCTTGGTAGCTATTTTTGCATAACCTATTTAACCTGGTTAAAATGTTTTTGCAGGGGGAGAAGAGTGGGTTAAGACTTATGAATTCAATGGAATATGTGACTGGTACATCCCCATATCAGCTCCCCGTCATTAACAATTATGTGATACCAGTGCCACCTCCCCCCCTGCAAAAAGGAGACAAGAGCATAACTGCGGTGAGAAATGGGGTGCACAGAGGCAGGCGGTATCATCCCACCACTGCACCAAATGACGTAGAGCAACTTTTAACAAAGGTAAGTTATCTCTGTGTACTTCTCTGTTTATGTATAGGTATGTTACCTTCCTCATTGGTGTATTTGCCTAATGCTGAAAGATGTGTATACCTAGTTTGCATAAAGATTCACTGAATTTTTAAAAGAAAGAAAATTTACAACTATTAAAATATATAACTGCCACCCATCTCTCTATATAGTAAACTAAAACATTTGGTGTTTTTCATCAGTTGGGGGGAAAAAAGGTGCTTGAACAAAAAAAACATAGCACTCTTACTTAAAGCCTTCCATCTTAGCCAATCTGATCCTATCTCTGACTATATCTAGTACCAGAACTTCAGAGGGATATATGAAATGCCTTTAGTGTATGGAAACTTGATCTGTTACACTGTATCTCCAGCCAGTTTTGACTCCTGTAAAGGAAATTGTAGGAACCCAGGATTGGGAGGGACAATATGGGTCATTAGACCTCATCCCTCCAATTTTGGGCAGTTCAATGCAATGGATTTTCAGTCTGAAATATTTTCCTGCCATTCTGCACATTACAAAACACTTTCCAATTGAAGCAGCTCAAGGCCTATCTTAAAAGATTGGAAGCCTCAAGTGTATGCCGCACGTACATGATCTTTGTGTTCACCTTTTGTAAGAGTTGGAAGCTGAATGCACTTTTTGTGTATTTCCTGCTGCAGAATTCTGGAGGATTCCCTAAGCCCTCGTTACGCAGCAATGTGTTTGTTACCATGGTCTTCCTAGGAAAAAGTGTGCATTTATCTCACGATGATGCTGATTACAGAGACGAAATCAAAGTCTATCAGCAGCATTGTGGAGGAGAAAACCTTTGTGTCTACAAAGGCAAGCTACTGGAAGGAGGTAAGGATAAAGAGTCAAAGAGTTCATATTGATTCTGGCAACATCTTTTTTTATTGGCTAAAATGTCAATGTGGTATCAAAATGATTTCAGCTGAACTCAGTCAAGATACGTGTGCATTCAGGGATTTTTATACCATCTGCCTCCCCACTAAATCTGGATCTACTGTTTCATGATTGAAAGCGAGGTTACAATTTTGCAAATTATGGTAGAATGAATTTAGAGAACTGATTTAACAAAATGGTGTAGCTTAGATTAATTTTGTGTAGAGATGTATGGTTAATAAAGTAGTTGTAGCAGTAAACTGTCCTTAAATAGGGGTTATCTGTTTCTGACTTGGTATAATACATCAGTGCATGTTGCTTATTATTCCAGAAGGAAAAGTACGTAGTGGGGGCTCAATTCGCATCTCTTTTACATGAGTGCGATTCCATCACACCAGGAAAAGGTGAATTGTGTTCTGGGAAACTGGGAAGAGGGAATGGCTGGGAGATTTTCACTTACGAGGAGGAGTTATTCCACAGATTATACCCCTCATTCCAGCTCACAGAACCCCCTGGTTTGCATTTGCATTTTCACTGGATATGGGAAGATGGTGCAGAGATCCCTGCACTTCAGCCTGACCCCTGAGGTTACGGGTGCACCGCAGTGTGCCTGCACATCTGGTTAGCTGTGTCCCAGCTGTGCAGAAGGTGTCCTTTGTGTGTGCTCCTGTTGTCCGGAGCCCCATTCACACTTACCAGGGAACCCGCTGGAGTGCAGCGTGGCTTCCTCCCCGCTGGTGTGTGCTCAGTTTACTTTGGAAGGATGCTGTGACTTGTGGGTGAAGGGAGCGCAACCCAGTCCCACCCGGCACGGAGCTGGGTAGCAGCCTCAGTGCCCTTAAGGCCTGGATACCGAACTGTGCCCTTGCAGAGTAGTCTGAAATGGCTCCAGAAACAGCATCTTTCAGCTGCTCAGTGTTCTGTGAGTACGACCGTATTAGTGCAGGCCCAGCACCACTAATAGTGCAGCTGTACTGATTGGAGCCTGGTCTCACTCTGCGAGGTGCTGCACTGAGGAACGTGCGCATTACACTGCAGGAGCTCTGACATACTGCCGTACTGCACCGTGTAGATGCACACCAGGAATCCTGAGCTTTCTGTGCATCATGTACACTCCTACAAGGCAAGCGGCAGAGTTAATTTTTTTGAGGCAGGAGGCTCTGGTTTCTGTTCTGCTGTAGCAGGGAGCGGCCAAACTGACGATGTGTTAGCTTGTCACAGGGGTGTCCAGCTTGGTACTCCTGGGTCAGGAAGAGACAAGGCTGTTGTGTGGGGAGGAGGTAGAGTTTTACCAGCTAATTAATACAGCCGAGAACAAAGTACCTGACCTCAGAGGGCTGGGTGCTTTGGTGGTGATGCAGAGGAGATACAACAATTGCAACAGGCTGACAGTAAAGCATAACCACCTTCTTTGAACCCTTTCCTTTCTTGTGATTACAGAGACCTTTCAGTTTGTCTCAAAGAGGCACCGTGGTTTCCCATTCAGCCTCACCTTTTTTCTGAATGGGATGCAAGTGGACAGGTTGAGCTGTTGCTGTGAGTACAAACATCAGAAGCGTTCCAGGCTGGGAGGCAGACATGGATACTTCAGGTTTCTCAATGTGGAGGGAGCATCTCCTTGCTACAGGTATGGAGATGAATACATGTTGCTCACAAGGATTTAGCAGCCCAGTCATTAGACAGTTTATCCCTTGTTTCCTCTTTTTCAATCTTTCCGGCACCCCACAGCTCTGTAGAGCCCGGTCTGTTTCTCAGCACCCCTTGAAATGTGCAGAACTGAGCTCATCCTTCAGGGTCCCACATCCAAGGATGCCATCAAAGTCAGCTACTTTTGTGCTGCCTCTTCAGTCACTCTGTGGCGTACGCACAGCAATGGACAATGTTTGCCCTGGATCTGTCAGCTTGTCAGGAGGCAGTCAGCACTTCCTCAGCAGTCGAGTATGGAGGAATAGGAGTGGGGTGGTATACATATGCCACTTGCATGTTTCTGGTGGAAGTGATAGTGAAATAAATATCAAGAATGCTGCTTGGTTAACTGTAGTTTTCAGAGTTTTCTTTGTGATTGTGAGAATAAGATAATTTATTTTTAAACAGCTCTGCCTCTAAGGTGGGGTTCTGCTGTAATACCCCTGGCTGCAGAATAAGACAGTACTGAATGTTAGCCATGCTTCAGAAAGCAAATCCATGCAGAAGATTCTCAGGTTTGGGCAAAAGTCAATGTTGTGAGCAACAGCTGTGGTTTTGCCAAGAAGCTTTAGTTTTAATAAAATTTTCCTTTTGTGTGAGTGTTAAGTCATGCCAGACAAGTAAACTTCTGCACACATGGATAATTTTAAAACTTTATGTTCTTTTCTTAAGTAATTTTTAAAAGAGCGGCAAGCAGTTGGAAGAAGAGAACCTCCACAGAGCTGTGCTCTATTTTTTCAGATAAGGAAGGACCAAATTCTAAGGAAGAAAATTCTACTTTTGTACCATATTTTTCCTACTCCAATCTAACATTGAACATGATTTATGTAAACGTATTACTTAGTATGTTTAAAGTAGTGTAAAACTTCTGAATTCAGAATGGATATAGTGGCTATAGAGTTTAGGAAATGCCCAAATCTCAGCTTTTGTGTGATTTCTAAAAAGATTTGAAGTGCATTTTCTGAATTATTATAGTCTCCAGATATTGGTTAATTTCTTCCTGAGTCATCCCCAATTTCTGTCCCCCTTGCCCTCTTATTATTAGTGATATCTCTGTTTTCCTGTCTCTTGTCAGTCCAGCCAACCTTATCTGGTGACTAAAAAACATTTCCATTAACCAGATTCTCCCCATAAATGACAACTATTTTCACATCTCCTTCAGGTCAAACGCAGTCATATTTGTTTTCCGCTTTGAGTATGACACCACATCCACAGATTAAATACCCACTCTGATTCTCAGTAGAGATCCCAGTTGATTTTCCCTGTTGGGTTAAGGCTATTGGTTCACAAAGAGGTGATGCCACGGTGATTTCTACAACAATGCTGTGATCCTTGCACCAAGAGTTTTCTGCTGGCCTGGGTCCAGCATTTCTGTACAGTAGAAGTGCTTCAATTATCTCAAAGGTCCCTGGAAAAAATACCAGGAACAAGTAATTAAAAGGTAGGACTGTTTTCAGAAATTGTCACATTTACATTTTATGCCTGCAAAATCGAAAGATTTCTAGACTGAATGACGTAGGATATTTCACAGTAGTTTGTAAACAGCTGGAATGTGAGGGGAGTTGCAATCAAGCCTTACATAAAAAAAGCAGTTTTGGGGGAGGAAAAGATTTTAAGACATAGTTGTCTGTAAAGAAAATATGGTTTTCCAGAGAGACTTGTGATTAGCTAAAGTGAAAGTTCCAGTTTCAGTTTCATCCTGTGCTTGCCGATTTGAATCAACGTACTACGTACAGCATAATGTCCTGACACTCATGGGTGGTGTAGGGTGGCTTTTCATGTCTGCGGTTAATGTTAAATCAGGATTAGGAACTCTAGTTTCTTATATGAGCCTCCTAACCACAAGATAGAGAGGCTGTCACTCCATTTTACACAAGAGGAGCAGTCTCAACAAGTCATTCAAAATGCTTTGTTTTCCAACTGTTTGGGTTTCTGTTAGGTAGGAAAAACAAACAGAAACTGAAAATAATTCAATTTCAATCTCCCTCTTACCCTGCAGTTACTAGACACAACAGACAAATTAAAAAAAAAAAAAAAGTCTTACCCACAAAACTTGAGATATCACTTTGCTGTGTGTTACAGCAGGATCTGGATGCAGCACACATCTGACTTGGAGCTTGTCTGCCTTTCTCAGTGGTTAAGTCTTCACAGATCATGCTTGGTGTAGCTTGAAATTAATGGGCACTTATGATAATTTTTATTTTAATCTGTTTATACTTCAATTGTCACCTTTAAGTGTGGACAGCGTTACTCTCCTTCAAGGAAGAACTGCATCTGTGTTAGTGGAGCTCTTGAGGATTTCAGGGTGCTTCTCCAAGTGAGTCATTATCAGTAACCTTGTCTGAGTGGCAATGCAGAGGCAGATAGGTACCTGGTTTCACTGCTGATAATGAGCGGAATAGCTTGCTATGTCTGCTGCCCTTCCATTGTTCACAGAAAGAAAAACGTGGTACTTTCCAATTCTTGTTATTTTATAGGTGCATTATTGCAATGGGTCTGGACAAAAAGCCATCCCCTCCCAAGAGAAAGATAGAGGAGGACCATGAGGAAAAGCATGTGGGTTCCTGGGGAGATGGAGTGCGCAGTGAGCCAAGTAAAAGCAGTGTTGAGCAGAAACCAAGAAAAGATTCAGTGTTAGTCATCTTACCAGGTCACGAAGCAAGTGTGGAAGCTGTTGAGGACAAAGTGGAGACCGGACAGGAATACAGAAAAGAAGAAAGGAAAAAACTATCTGATCGTGAGAGTGAAGATAGTCAGGAAGACACCGGGAAAAATGGTATAGTATTCCATAACACAAGCAGGGGATGAAAAATGGGAGAGGATGATTCTGGAGAAGGTACGGGATTGTGGGCCTCCCACTTCATCTGGGGCATCCTCTCTTAGGACACCTCATCTGTGAGAAATGTGGTGATGCCTGTGACTGGGCAATAAAATTAGTGGGGCTCCTTTCAGCCAAGCAACAGGATGAGAGGGTTTTGCAAGAGCCAAGTAAGTGAGTAAGAAAGGTCTGAGAGGCTGAAACAGGAGCCTGAGGTAGGTGGGAAGGCAGGAGGAAAGTGGGGCACAGTGAAGGACGAAGGAGAATGGCAGCAGGTGGAGGAGAAGTAGAGCAGAAGGAAGAAATGGGACTGGGTGTGGGTAGGGAGACAGTGAGCTCCTAAGGGAGACAGGAGGTCAGCATCAGGTGAATGGAGAGAAGATGGTGGACATAGGGGCAGGAGGTGGAAAAGCCTCCTGCTGCCCGATTCGAGATGGATGGGAGGGAGGGATGAACTGTGGAGGGGAGGAGGCCAAATGCTGGGTGCAGAAGGGGAGGGAAGGTGCAAGCAGCAAAATGTCAGCAAGATTCAGCACCAGCGGAAGTATTTTGGTCTTTTCTCCTGTCTGTTGCTAGTGGGAGTGCAATGCTTTGTTCATCTAAGGCTCTTTCCAGTCTCTTCTCCACCACTCTGCCCCAGGCACTGCTTACCCGACAGCTGCCCAAACCTCCAGTTTTTTCGCTTGTCTGAGTGTTCATTCCCTCTGCTCCAGGTCTACCAGCTCACCTTTCTTGCCTTCTCTGCTCCAACCCCACTGGGGCTATTGTCCTTTCCCATTACCAAATGCTCCCATTGCCTGGTGTAGCTAGCTGACCTTGCCCCTTTTGCTTTAAATCTTGTTTCTGTTGACAGAGATTTAAAAAGAAAGACCAGAGACAGGCTGCCCTTGCTGAAAGTTTGCTCAGGGCTGTTTCTTGTGGCAGGCAAATATAATATTTGTGGTATAAAAATGATGCGTGGCAGCTCCAACTGCGTGCTCAGAATGTGCCGTTTCCCCAGTGCCACCTAAGGCCAGTCCCTGTTGCCATCAGGATGCTTACACCTCTGCCTGCCCCTACGGGAAGAGGCGGTGAGGTCAGCCTGTGCCTTTACTCACTCCTTATTATAAAGTCTTCTTCAGAATAAGTCAAGTTTAGAGAGGGATTTTAATTCCTACTTCCTATTTCTATTTTTACTTTCATAATTCTGCAGTGCTACTGCTCAGCTTCCTCATTAGTCCCTGTGGATGTGTGTTTGTCATTAATCAAGCCTTTTTCCTTCAGGAGGTGGGCACCTTTCTGACAGTTACCTAAGGAGGCCTCACTTCCAACAATGCAGTTGGAATCTCAATTGGTTTTTAATACAGAAAATACATCTCCTTATTCCCTTAATTCTCATTGTCTGGGTAATTGTTTATTTGCCTAATTGGTTGTGCATCAGATACGCTTCATTTCTGTCCTTGGCATTCTGTCACTTCAGTACTTTAAAAGTACTGATGGAAAGAAAAAGAGGTGAGCAATAAAATCTGAAAGGTGAGAAATTATGGCCATGAGGGACAGCTGGTGTGTCAGCAGTGACAGCTCTCCTTCACAGTTTAGGTTTTTTGCCTCTGCTGCATGCACAGTGAGCTAGTGGTAGCAGTGGAATTACAGAATTTTAAATGGCAACCACTGACATCACTGTGCATGCTGGTGCCTGGGATTTTAAATAGTGCAGCCTTGGCTGGAAAGGGAAGGATTCTTTAATGCATATGCATGAAGACAGTCTTTACCTATAGATCTGAGCAAAGTTATCTATCAAATGTTACAACTTGTCAGGCTAGTAGCCTGGGATGAAATCCCAACCACGTTGATGTAAAAATGGTAATTCTGCCGTAAGCTTCATTTGTACTAGGATTTCACCTGGGACCTGAAGGAGCATATTAGAACAGTGCAATAACAGAATGTACCTCTGCAGCACCCTTTGGCTGGATTTAATTAATTCCTTTAGTTTGTAAGCCACTTCTTTGCTAATTAGCCATGTCAATCCACATTTATCTTACTTTGCACTACAATATATTACCTTTCTCCAGCTTTCTCTATTGCTTGTATTTTTTTTCATCACAAGAAGTTTTTCTCCTGTAATAAGAGACTGTCTTGCATTTTATTTTTGAGTTTGCCCAGGTCTTAATTTTTCTAGTCCTTTCAGTGACTAATGATTTTGTTTGTTTTGTTTTTAATGTATTAATCATACTTGATGCATCATTCAGTACCTTTACGGCATTTTTGCTACTCTGTCTATGAAGAACATGATGCTTTTTTATAATACTGTGCTCTTATGATTCCTATCTGTGGTTTTAGATTCTCCCATGGCTTTAAAAAGACTGAGCAAATGCAAAGGCAAAAGGAGATTAATGAAGTTAACCTCTGTCTACTTAAAAAGAACTTTTATTAGTTGTGAAATTCCATTTCCTGTCTCATGGTATGATGCTTTTATTTTAGAGTATGATGAAGATTTTGAAGCAGATGAAGAAGTTCATGAAGAGGGACAGACTGGTGATCAAATGAATGGAATGTCAAAGTCATCCTCAGATGATAAAAAACATAATTTAGGCTATGAAAAGGAGAGTAAAACCTCATCACCGAAGGCACTGCAGGCCTCTGACGGTGAGAAAGATGAAAGTGATGGATATTCTGACAGTGACTCCGAGGATGATAAACAAGGTTAGTTTTTTTCATGAGGCTTACGGAAGTTGACTCGATGCGTGTTTTACATTTTTTGCGTGTCCAGTACGTATGTTGTGTCTGCATAGGGAAAAACTATGCAATCTCTACTGAATTGGTAAAAGATAGCTACTTCATCTGTTACTAATTCTACCATCCATCACTGAAATACAGCTAAACCCACTGGCAGTGTAAGTGTGTGCCAGCTCACAGCAGACTTTGCTGAACTATTTAGTTGCAGAAATGGAGATGGAGCCAGTCAGCAAATTAGCTCTAAATACTTGGGCAGATCAGCACTTCATGGCAGTGGTCACTGACATCTGAGAAGCTATGACCGCTTACACCTGCTGAGGATATGCACTTTTATCTGAGAAGTCACCAGGAAACCTCACATACCACCTTGTATTTTAGAAGTGCTATCTTTAATGGCCCTGAATAATCAGAACCTCAGCTTTGTCCTCTGGTACATCACTGACACTGTCCTGGCTCAGGGAGGAAACGCCATCAGTTCAGCTGTCCCTTCTACCTGCAGCGCTTAGGCAGTTTGTGAGGGTCCTCGTTCATGTCTGGCTGTGAATGAGTAAGGGTCGGAGACAGTAAGTTAGTCTGTGATTCTTGATCCAAATATAGGTATAAAACTGTGCAGTGAAGTGTCCAAGGCCATTATTATTATTAATTCAGAAAGATTAAACTGTTCTGGAGTAAATTTCTGTAGAATAAGTGGTGTTTTCTGTCATTCATGTTTTTGGATCAGCACTTTTAACATCTAGTGTATTAACTGTTGGCCTTCATGCAGTCCAAGCTGTGTATCTTCATAAATAATCCCACAGAAAACTTGCAGGCAATTTCTCATTTATTAGATGACCAACAGAATTCCTTTCACCACATGGTGAATAAGGCAGAAGTGAACTGCCTCTTCCCTGTGGCAGTGTTTTATTTCTCTCTAACATTTCTCCTCTATGGCTTTGTTAGATCCTGAACTGACTTACGTGCCTCTTGCTTGTCATAGTGTACCAAGATTTCTCCATTTACTGCTGTTTTAAAATTAATTACTTTATATTCCTTACATTTGGCAGTCCTATGTGCAAACTGTTTCTCAAGTTAAATGGAAACATTACTTTCACATTTGTATTTCTAGGTGAATTAAGCAAAGGTAATACAGCTGCTTGTGAAAAGGTTGCAGCTGCAAGAAAGATCCAGTCTTTTTATAGAAAGTATAAAATCCACCAGAAACTCAAACCAGGTTTGAAACATCCTTGCTTATAAAATCATTGCAGTGATCAAAAAGAATCTTAATTTTTGTTTTCTCATGATAATCAGAAATAGCTTGTGATTCATGAATAATCAGTAGAATTAAGCATTCTTTTCTGCTTGTTAGTGTATGGCATTACGAACTTTTTTGTGACTTTAATCAGCTGCTTCTCAAGCTCTAGCAGTATGTGATGATCAACTGAAAGTGTGTGGATGCATAGATGTGTGTAGGTGGAAAGGAACAGGTAACTGTAAGGGCCTTTCATGGCTACCCATACATTAAGACCTTTTCTAAGGGC